AGTGACGTGAAACCTGTTTTTCTTCAAATTTTCAGTCGAAGTCTGCTCTCTTCTCAATGTTACAGACTGCAACTTTAAATTAATTTTTGTAGAATTACCTGTACTAGATTACCGGTAATTGAAATGCTGTTTATAACGGGTGTCCATCCATCCATTTTCCATCACAATGGAGATTTTAGAGAACCCAATTAACCAAACAGTCCTGTTTTTGGAGTGTGGGTGGAAATCAGAGTACCCGGAGAGAACCCATGCATTTAGAGGGAAAACATGCAAACTCAGTACAGAAAAACCCCAGGCTGGGAGTCGAACCCAGAACCTTCTCGCTGCAGGGCAGCAGTGCTACCCATCGCACCTATAATGGCTAGCTTAAAGAATAAAAGGAATGGCAGTGATGGTGCTTTGTTCAGGATGGGTGGCTTAGTGACTACCGCTGGGAACATTCATTTTGATGTTTGACTCTTTTTAAGACTGTTACCTGAAGAGCAGGACATGAAACAAGACCTTTGCAAAAAGAAAAACAGAAAGCTGAAGTTTAAAAGAGGAAACATGCTTATTGTCTCCAAGTTCTGATGTCAAAGTTCAGACATCGGTCCAATGAAAATATCAGGAGGGCCCAAATCAAGCAGCTTATGCGTATCTCCCATAAGCAGAAGCCTTCTTTTTTTTTTTTTTTTTTTCATTAACAGGAGCAGCTGACTGATAGACGGCTGCTGGAAAGTTTTTTTTAGATGTTTTTACGCTTAGGCTTTAGACTCAGCACAGGAAGTACTTCTCTTATTTATACTGTAATGTTTGCATTTTTCATCAATTGCCCCCCCTCATTAATTTTTTTTTTTTTTTGCATGACCCCCACCTTGTCAGTGCATTATGCTGACAATTTAAACACAGGAAATGTGGAGTGATCTGTAGATTGTTAAACCAAAATGCATTTTTGCAAAAAATAGATTTTTAGATATTAAAATGACTTTATTTCTATAGTCATTACAACGATGACTCAATGACAATTTTTACTATTCTATTAACAACTAGATATATATAGAAAGATATTGAATAAGAAATGTAAAATATCTTCAAGTAGTTATTTATTTATAATTATTTGCCCAATGAATCAGACATATCTTGTCTAATAAAAGAAGATATAAATGGTTGAAGTCTTTGTCATTGCTTACTGTTAGCAGGCTGTTGTCAGTGTGAACTGACAGATTGTACTGATACCATTAGCATTGACCTTCAATGTCTGCTGTTTTTAATGCAGGTCATTAATTCACATCTTTAGGATCTTTAAATCGCCTTTAGTTTGTAGTGTGTAATCTCAATGCGGAGTGAAGTAATCATGTTTTTAAGATGATGCAGCAGCCCATTTTGTTTTCATTATGCTGCCTGTTTGTCTGTTGTTGTTTTCTGGCCATCTAGTTTGTTTGCATATTCAGCAGAGAGCTAAAAATAAATGCGTCCCTAACTCTCACCCCCATCTCTTTCAGTCTTTTATTATATCTTTCTCTTGTACAGGAAGTTATCCCGCTCTTCTCTCTAAACAGTTATTTCCTGTTTCACACGTTCTCATTCAGCTTTGGCTGCACGCTCCTCTGGCTCTGTCAGTTTCTCTCCCTTCTAATCCTTGGTACTTTTCATTTTACTTCACCTCCAAAAGTATATGATGGGAACTGATTGGGTTTCTGTTGTATTTCAGGTGAGCTGAATAAGCACATTTGCACAACATTTAGACATCCTTTTATTTTTTGTGCACTGGAAAAGCTCTGCTGCATGGCATTCCCTCTGCTTGAGACCTTCAACATAATGGAGGCTCTCGCTGTGTTTTCAGTTTATGCAATAACAACATTGGACCATTTAAAGCAAATATCCTTCTGACATAGGAACAACACTAAAACTACAGTACTGTTTCACTTTAATACGCTACATCAAAGTAATTTTTACACATAGATAGATAGATAGATATCTCCTAGGGGAGCTCTGTATCCCTTTTGCCTGGACATGATGGCACGCTTTCATCATATTCTCTCAGAAACTTTAGATGAAGCTTCCCAAGAAAGGAATCTCTGCAACTGATGTAATTTTATAGCACTTTATGTTTAAAAAGTTGTCAATCTGGTTTAAGTCCTTTTATAATCTACAGGGGGTTGGCAAATATTATGCAGCTGAGTCAATCAAGGAAGTTGCTTGATATTTATTTTATGTAAAATCCCCCTCTGATAGTCAGTCACAGCATCCTCGTGTTGTTTTTGGACTCCCGACTTTGTGGCAATTTGTTCCTCTTATACTTTTCAGAAGATACTTTGTCCTACTCTCTAGACAACTGTATCCTCTAAAGCTCTAAAGTCTCTGGGGACTATGAACTCTCTTGTGTATTATATGTCAACGTATATTTCATGGCTTTAAAATAAAACTTCCAATGGATTCATTCTGGGTGGAAGTTTAGGGGAGCTTTTCCAGCTCCTTTGGATACAACTCCTTTGGAGTTTGTATACAGAAATCAGTTGCACCCGCCAATCAGAGTGGGTTTAGTATGGACTAATTGCACACAAGTAAGAGGAATAACACTTTATCATAATTTTACTCAAGTAATAGTAAAAAAGCATTTGATAAAAAAACATAAATTTAAGTAATGACTAATTCACCATATCTGATATTTAATATCATGTAAAGAAGACCAAAATGTAAAGTTATATGCACATTTGTGGTATTTTAAAGACTATATTAAAGTAATTTAAATTATGCAAGTGAAAGAGAGCAATTCCAGACACTTTTATAAACCAATTTTCTTATCATGAAACTTGAAATAGTCATTATAGGTTTAAGGAAGTTTGTTTACAAGAAAAGTAACCCTCATTGTGATGTAAACATTACCTAAAAGAAGAAAAGATATACAAACATATTTGTTGTTCAGTGCCAACTTGCCCATGGATGGAGTAGCCACACATTTTACTTGGTAAGAGAAGCGATATTAAAGGTAAAGTGGCGGATTTGCATGAATTTTTTAAAAGACCTTCCCTTTCCTCTTTAAAAAAATGCACATGCTCAACCCTTTACCCGCTCCGAGAGGGAACGCCTATTAAACGTACGTGAGAGCATGCACATGCCCATTTCTCCTCGTGCATGCTCTGTTTAAAAGTTGCTGTTTGCATCACTCATACAAGCTTGCTTACCAAAACATTTGCAATTTTTCCACTATGTCAGATTGACCACCGGTTGGTGAAAATAGGGACAAGCACGTAGGACGGCCTTATGTAGACATATCATCAGAATGATTGACAATTGGGAGCACTTATTTTGATGATCCACCCGCAAAAAGAACATCCTCAACGTCACCTTTAAGTAAAAAATATGAGTAGTAAAGAGTTTTTTTGTTTTTCTTTTTTAATCTTACTCATCTTTTAGCCTTGATCTTTTCAGAGTCTGAAGTTATCATACAAAGAATCCAGGATCCAACAGAGCATATATATACTACGTGCACTTTTCCCTTCACTTTCTTTTCTTACATTTCTTACTCATTGGTCTGTGCATTCGGGGTGCATACATTAAGCTGATCAGCATCATAATGTACGTTAAATGTGTTTCTTTTATTTTCTGCATAATGGATATTAATGTGAAACATTTAGCCTTTTTTTGCTTGGTTTATATAGGAGACTTTTTACAGGGGATGTTAAGGTTTAGACGGTTTAGTTTTTTTCCTTTCGCTGCAGAGGTAGACGTAACTGGAAACTACAGAAGACTTTGTGTTATTATGTGGTAGCAACATGTCGACCACAAGGCTGCGTAGACCTGTTTGCATACCCCGAGTTCTTCTCTTGTTTTACTGTATAAATGTAGCAGCTAAAAAATGGCTCCCAGGTTGTTCTTACAAAGATGCCTTCATTTTAGAAAGAGGCTATAAAATCTATGGAAAGGACATATTTATCACTGTCTTTCCTCCTCAATGCCAGTGGAGTTGCTGACTTGTTTGCTTTAAGACCAAATTTTAAAGCGCTCTGTGTTGGCCTCGTTTTCAGGTTTGGATGTTCTGTTCTGGACAGTCACACTGTTGCATCCTGTGTGGTTGTGTCTGTAATCTCAGCTGGCCTCCTGGTGGGTCATTAATAACTCAACGCCACACAACATCTTTTCCCTCCCTGTAGGTTCTTATTCAAGTGCCTTCATTTGACACTTTTGGAAGACAAAATATTTGTTTGTGAGAGGATGTAGTTTTTCCTTCTTTCATTCTAGCTGGTTTCATTTTTGTGTATGTTTTTTTTTCTTCATGTGCTGATCGGAAAATCATAATGATTTGAAGTGCATATTTTAAACAGTTTTTAGCTGTTTAGATAACCAATTTCCATGGATCTCATGTCTTACTGCAAATAGGAATCACTATTGGTATTCTTTGTGAATGATAACTCTTAATGACTGCGAACATTTCCAGAGTATATGAAAGCTCAAACTAATAAAGCAAAGCAGCTTAAGACGTTTAGCTTTCCTGTTATCTCTTTAAGATGACTCTTTGTCAGTTTGCTCCCTTACAGGGTTGGCCTGCGTCCTGTTGCACTCTAAATAAAATGCTGACTGTTTCCTTTTATCTACTTTCAACACCTCAGTTCTTATTTAGAATAGCGTATTTTTAGTCCTCAGCATGACCTGTTAGTACTGTTCAATCGGGGACAATCAAGCTGATGCTTATGAAACGGATTTCTTAGTGCATCTTTATTTACATGTTATGGTTAGTTCACCTACTGAGTTACCCACTAATTCCTTTGATTTTTCCGCAGCAATGCCACCTGCTGCAGATTTTCCTGCAGAGCCATCGGTCTTCTGACTGAATGACAAAAACCACAAGGCCCAAAATGGACGTTGGAGTTCTTGAAAGACAGATCAGTGCTGTTCCAGGTAAGAGTTTCTTACTTTTTAATCTTGCATCTCCTCAAATAAGTTCTTGAAAATTTGGAAAACGCTTGAAATTTTGGCATGTATCTGTAAGTATTTAACAGCTTTATTAGAAATGTCCAAGTTAAAAGTATAGCACAGATATGACCTTTAAACATTTATGCATAAGTGTAATGGAGGGTTATTTCAAATAAGTTCATGAGTTGGTGTTAGCAAGTGGGTGGAGGCTAATGCTAAGTCTGTGGCAGATTCCTCCATGCTGGGCAACTAGGAGCTTTCTCTTGAACTTATAAAGATATTTTTGTAAATTATTTGCATCAATTTATTACATGTATTTTTGAATTTTCTATTGAAATGTTGACCCCAGAGTCATAACAAGGTAGGGGGAAGTTGTCTTTTTTTCTTTTTAATTTATGTATTTATTTATATTTTTTTTTTTGTTGTGCAACTCAGCCAATCAGCCGCTCTAATCGCAGCCATTGACTGATGGGTTAAATTGTCAGCATACATTGTTTCATATATGTCTGCTGCATAGATACCATTATATAAATGAATACAGTAAAATTGTATAATGTGTACTTAAATGAATTAGAAATTATAATTTAATAGGTATTTTAATTATTAATGGCACATTATATGATCTAAATGTACGTCTCATGATAAATGTATATTAAATATATCAATTGAATGTTTCATTATTTGACGTGAAATTTATTGGCAATTTAATTTTTTTTAATAGTATATTTGGTCTTTGGATTTTCTAATTGTTAACCCTCCATACTTTGTCTGATTGCAGCCTTTTGATTGTTGTTGTTTTTATCAGGCTGAGGAGTCGTCACTTATTTAGACTCTGCAAGTTTGAACTTATTCTGTTTTCTGTTGACAAGCTGGCTAACCTGACAGACAACATCTTAGCATTCATACAGGTTCTTTGTTGTTGTTCGATTGATCCTCAGATCCCTCTGTTGGGCCTGTCACCATTGCCAATGAGCGGCGTCAAGCCTGGGCCAGAAGCAGGGACTCCATTGGGCAAGGGTCAAAAGCAGACCGCTGTGAGCCTCAGCAGCCCCAGCAGATCCAAAGCAATGGGAAAACACAGAGCCAAGAACCAGGTTAGACTAAAGTGTCAGAAATGCTAAGATTACTGCCTAAATGAGAACCATTCCTGATGGTCCCATCTGATTATTCATAATATTTTCCTTAAACACAATAGAAGAAAAAACTCCTCCAAACATGAGGTTTAAAGTCAAATCAATTTACAGGGATCTAAGTATCTTTTTTGGAAGCAGAATATTTCTGAAAAATCCAGACATTCATTTTATTTTAAACATATTTTAAGAGCTAATAGTCATATCATTTAGACACACTGACTCTTTACTATGCAATTATTATAATGAAAGTGTGGATTTCCTTTTTTTGTTTAAATCCATACAAGTCTGCCAACATTTAAAAGTAATCTATAACTTCCTGTTTATCTGGGGAATTGACCTATCTCAGGGGCTTATTTGTTGTACATACTATTGAAATTTGTAGAGATACACAGATATGCTTACAAAATAAAGTAGATGAGTGTTAATCTTGAATACTCATAATCTAGGTCACTTAGGCTACGTTGACACTGTATAGCCGCCTTGATGCTCAATTCCGATTGTGTTGTGAAATCCAATTTTTTTGCGTTGCCGTTCACATATCCAGATATATGCGACTTGTATGTGATCTCCTGTGTAAACTGCATCCATACAGCTTATGTGTCCCGTATGCGCAGTAGAGGACGCAATGACGTGACAAGACAGCATGCTTCATGTTTACGGAAGTAAACATGGATGTAGTGCTGGAGTGCATCTAGCAATCTTTCCAAACCTTAAAACCTCAATCTTTTCAAGATGGTTAAAAAAAATACTGCTCTCCGCACCATCTTCCGCCATGGTGTTTGTTTTTTGTTTTCCCGCTTCTGTGTAGCAAGAAGCAGAATAGTGACCTATGTTGGTTACTAATGGCGTTCAGATGGGATGAATGCGACACAGGTCGCATTTGAAAAGATTAGATTCGTATCTGATCCAGGACCACATAGCCAAATGGCCTGGGTCAGGTTGGAAAAAAATCAGACCTGTGTTCCGACTGTCATGAAAAGATCAGATCAAGGTAGCCTTAGATCACAGAACCAAAAAAAGGTATATTTTCGAGTGGGAACCTCCTCTCATGAACTCTAATGTTTCTGGCTAACACATCTGGCATTCCAATGGTAGTTGACATGTTCATAATCATATTGTGCCCGCTTACATGGTAGAGTAAGTGTGGGGAATAGTTTTTAGAGCCATTATGATAAAATACTGACTTATTTTTCACATCCTAAACTGTGTGGATTATTCTCTACTGTTTGAACTGAAGCCTCATTTAGGATCTACAGACTGAATTGCTGTGTTCATGCATTGGTATACAAGTTTTCTAGAAGTTTGTAATCCCTGCAAAACGTCTGCTGGAATAATGCTCTAACATGCTAACCTGTTTTTTTGTGCCAGGACAAGTTCCTAGCAAGATTGCGACCTGGCTGATTGATTGCAGGTATAGTATTTATTTACTGATTCTCATTCAGGGTTTTTTCAGAGTGTCAATAATAATTATTGAGCTTTATTGATTTATTGAGAAATTTACGTCTATGCCCTAACCACGAGCCTCCACTCCCCACAATCACAAAAAGGACATTTTAAAAAAGTATTGTTATAAATGGTAAACGATAGAGGAATTATTTGCATATATATTGTATGAATTAAAAACAATCCTCTGGACTTGGTTTCTAAGTTTGAAGGCAAAAAAAAAAAAAAATGTCCTGGATGGGAAGCGAAACGTCTTCAAACAGACCAAGTCCAGTGGATTGTTTTTGTTGGAATGACTATGACCTGGATGACTGACAATCTTCCCCAGCATACATATTGTTAAATATCTGCTAATATACTTGATGGAAATAGAAGATTTTGGGCGGGGGAAGCTTTAAGCCAACTAGCTGGTTCAGTAGCATTTTTCTCAACTGATTTTGTTGCTCATTATTTTTTTCCTTTTTATTTTCTCATGGGTTTTTAAAAGTGGCGTGTGTGGCGTATCAGTTTCTGACGTTTGATCGGCACGAAGCCAAAACCTTAGGCATACAACATGCAGAACTTCCAAAAACAAGACTTGTAAGGAGGGGACCAACGCCCAGTGATAGAGCACATGATCTTTAGAGAACTATGAGGCAGAGGGAGAAAGGAAGAAACTGACAGCAGACGGAAAGAGAGGCAGAAAAAGAAAAGGAGAGTAAACAGAGGAGGGGTTCCTCCTGCTGTGTCAACATTGTTATCATAGGCTCACATGGTTTCAAGCACTGCCGCCCAGAACCGTGCACACTGCTCTGACGGACGTGACACAACGTCTTAGCAGCCGCATTAACAGCTGTCTGGTTACAATAGCATCAGCTGTAGGCACCAAAAGCTTACCTGGCTCATCATGGTGGAGTCTGGGTCAACTTTCCATATGTAGCAGCTGTGCATTGTTGCACTTGTTGCCTCACCCTTGATGTGCGTATAAAGGACATAAAGTTTTTTCCAGTGATAAGAGCTGCAGTTTGTGCAACAGCTCAGCGTTCCCAGCAACCAGCTGGATGTCGCTCAGACCTCCTGCTACTAAAATAAGCCAGTGTGTTAACTAGTTAGCTTTGGTTACCTAGTCGGGGCAGCAGAATACCAAAAACAATCTTTAAAAACAAGATACATTTCCATATCATCTAAGTAGTAGTTATTTCCTCCTCCTGAGAGGCAGCTGAGTTTATTTATGACAGATGGTAAAACTTGATTGCTTAGACACTGTTTGACAGCTGCTTCACATGGATAACTATAACAAAGCAGGTGAGGCATTGATGTGTAGGTATAGTGAGCCTGCTTTGCACCGATTGACCTTACCACAATAGCTCAAGAAGCGTTACATAAAGTCAGTGTCGGAGTTCACTTTATATATGAAACCATTTTTTTGTTTGTTTTTTCCGTCCACATCCTGGAGCTTCTTTTCAAGATCAGACGGCTATATTTACTCTTTTGTTGATCCTCTGGTATAGAATTTGATACAATATTAATCATAACTATCATTTTTTTTTTTTTTATGAATAAAAAAAATAATAAAACTAACATTATTGTTAATGATGGTCACAATGTTTAAAACTGGAGGAGAAATGGCTGCACACCCTTTTGTCCAATTTGACATTTTAGGGTTTATATACGGAGAAATAAAGTATATAGCTTCTGATATTAAGTGGCAGCTAAAATAGTGCTTTTGTTTTTTGTTTTTTTTGTGAGAAGCACCAGTCAGAATTTTAAGGATAGTTCTTGATTCATTTATTTTTTTAAAGCATTGACCTGCGTCAAGCATTCCAGCCATGAGTCATTAATTGTTTCTTCTTGGCGTAGAGGAAGTATTACGCCACTGTGTGAGATAGCAGCCGCAGTAAACCAGTTTTTTTTATTACTAATATTTTGAAACAACGTCTCAGTAGCTCAAAAGTTGGCAATTCAAGATCTCCTTAGGATCTTTTATTGGACGTTTGTGTGGCTAGAATTGCAAAAACAGTCTCCCGTGTTTATGCCTCAGAGAATGTAGATCTCAGCCCTATTTGTGAGATTTCCAAAAGGCTGCAGACATTAAAATGTTTGTCAGGAATTGTGAAAGACAGAGGTTAGGAGCTCAAGAGCCTGAACAAAAGCCAACTTTTTCTGCGCTCCATTCAGCACTCCTTTTATTTGCTTATGATCCCAGCCTACTGTGATTTATAAAAGAAAAAAATGCAGTACTTGAACATGTTTGACATTAAGTATTGATATAAACTTTGGCAAAACTGAAAATTATTACCCTTTTAGGATAAATAAATTATTTTCAAATTAAATAGAATTAAATAGATATTGTGTGTTGTTGCTGCAGCCTAATCATATCAGGCAGATCCAACAAGGAGCTCAGTCACTGGACACACAGGTTTCAGGTATTAACGCTTTAGGAAGTGTGACTCAGGAAGGGGGGAGAGGAGGATTATCACAAAAGGACAGCGGTGAAAGTACTTGTTGCTGGAGAAAAAAGGAAGAACTTGTGTCACTCGTTTGTGTCACTGCGCTCGTTTAGCAGGATGATGAAATTACTTTAGACATGTTGTAGGTTGAGAGAGTTCTACATCTGTGGTCAGTGTGTCTTTCACCCTGAACAACTACAGACTATTTTCACAACATCAAGTCTGCAAAAAAATGCAGTTTGAACCTGATAGAAGTTTTGCTCTCTCTCGCCATCTTGCAGCCATATTAAGCCACAGATTTAAAAGCTGTTTTCTTTGAACCAACTTTTTACATCTCTGAGCAGCCTTTAAATTAGCTTTTTCCTTAATCTTTCCTATAATACTCAACTTAAAGGACCACTTTTCTAAGTTATAACCCATCCCAGCTAGGTATAGTCATTTTTGGACGAGCTGATTATTTAGGGATTATTATCCATATCAGATAAACTCCGACAGATTTATCAGTACATTGCTGTTTTTTCTATATATGTCTTTGTAACCCCACAATCATGTTGTGAAAAAGTATTAACAATAAAACAAATTAAAAAGGGTTAATGTTTGAATTATCTTGGATTTAAACATGTCTTTCTGTATGAAAAGTATATTGGTAGTCCATTGCTGCCATTACAATCTTTGTTATTTAATCTGATCTTTTTCATAGAAAGCATTTTAGATTATAAAAAGGTAACAGATTTGATTCCAATGATCCTGCTTTGTATTTAAAGGCACACAGTGTAACTTTTGTCCACTAGGTGCGCTATACCTGTAACTGACCGTATTTTGCTTCTACTAAACATAAAAAATAATAACAAATATATATTACTGTATACTAGGGGTGGAACGGTTCACAAAATCCACGGTTCGGTTCACGGTTTTGTGGTCACGGTTTTCGGTTCGGTTCGGTATATGTTAATTGTTAGGAAAATCTATTATGTCTTGTATAGTACAGCACGTGTTGCACAATGCTTGCACACTGTTGCACTTTTATCCACAGCTTTCTTTCCGCCGTCATCGTAGGTCACTCTAAATGCAAAGCGGTCCCATACAGCAGACCTATAAAGTGCTGCTGGCGCGTCTTCCAACTCCTGTTCTTTCCCACTCGCCATACCCACACAATTCTCCACAACAACTGATTTTTTTTCTGCTACAGCCGGCTACGCTGCTTTGCTTCTTTTTGTTTACTACTGGTGGTTGGCTTTGGTCGCAGTACCGCCACCCTCTGCTCTGGAGTGTAAACGCTTCGCCTATGAGAAAAAGGAGCTGCGCATGAACCGAACGCAACACACACGAATCGAACCGAGACAGTCGAACCGAACGGTGTGGACGGTTTTCATAAACCGTTCCATCCCTACTATATACTAGAAGGGAAGTGGTAACTTAGCAGTCTAATGATAAAATTGAGAAAAGACAGTCGGTTTTACATCTGGCTTCTTCTTTCAGCCAGCTTCAACAAATAAACTCCTTGTCTTTCCTCGACTGTTGTCTTTCCTCAGGCACGATCCCTTTCACGTTTTCTCTTTTTAGCCTATTTAGAAGATTACAATTTTTCCTTGCCTCAGCCATGACCAGTAGTTGAAGCAGAAAAATAGTAGAACAATAGCTCAATGACCATATAAGAGCCCGTGGCCACAGGTCACATGACTTGGCCAATGATGGCGAGTCTTCTCCCAACTTACATAGTCGGTATTTCAAGAGAGGAGTTCCGCTTGTGTCAAGCACTGTATATTGGCCTAAGGAATCCTTTAAAATGCGTCAACTCTTTAGGTCACAAAGTCTGCAGTGTGCCTTTTTATAGAAATCTTTTTTTTTTAAGTTAGGTTTTTAATTAAGGTTCATAATATACTTTTATTTTCTTGTCCAGAACTCCAAATGGAGCATCACTGGAAGAACAAAGTACTCCTCCCAGCAAAGGTAATCCATTGTTTCTTATGTTTTTGCCAAATATGTAGCAAGGATTAGTATTTACAACTGGTTTTGCAATTTTACTGATTTTCATTCTTACCACAAATTACTTTGGTAGTAGGTAATACACTGACTTCTCAAAACTAATCATCACAACCCCTGTACAACAAAGCAGAAAGCAGACGGTCCCTTTAAGTGCTTGTGTAGCTATTTCGTCACTTCACCACATTGTATTTACTCTAGCTATGCATGTCTGTGTGAACAGGAGTGAGAAACGGCTGCAGCTTTGAAGATGACCTTTCATTGGGAGCTGAAGGTCAGTTCAGAGGAAAACTTACAATACAAATCAGATTAGAAATGTCTGCTCATTGTTAACAGTTTCCTCCATTTCTCTGTTTAAAAATGTGATTTCAATAATCAAACCTTATCCCAAATGGCAGGTGTAGCCTCTATTCTTAAAGGTTTCAGTGGATAAAAAAGCAGTTGTTTTAGAAGTGTGAGATGTTTTGTACCGTCTCATTATCAATGACTTTTAATCTGCAGGGAGAGTTAAATGCTTCCCAACTTTGTTTGTTAAGATTAAGTTATGTTTGGTTTTAAATTAAAATATAACTACTTCAGATGTTTCTAAACAAACTTTAGGTTTTTATTAGCGTTGTCCCACAGGACTCCAGTGAGTCCAAACATTAGAAATCCAGATGCTAACTTAAAACATAGTCATAAACTATTTTTAAAGCCACAAGAAAGCACATTTGTAAACAATCTTTATATTTTATAGCCATATTTTTTTTATATAATTCCATATCTCTCTTGGTATTAGTTACAGCTGAATAAAGCCAACTTGTGAATGCAGTAGAAACAATTACATGTGCAGCCTCAGTCGTATCAGTTCCTAGTGTGTGAACGTGTTTAAATGAGGTTCAGATCTCCTCCAAACAAAACAGTGTCAGCAGAATAAACAGAACATCTTGTGGCACTGCGCTCCATTCCTCAGTCCTGTTTCTTCATGAAGGAAAAGCAAACAGTTGGTAGAAGTGTGGAAAGACACCACATGCATGGCTGCTTCTCCTCTGAGTGTGTGTACCTTGGTCATTCTTGTGATCTGCTGTGAATACACGAGTAGAGGCTCCGGTGCTAAGAAGAGCAAACACATAATGGCCTGTAATGACCTGGCTTTGATGCTGCGTTTGGGTTTGTAGGTCATCTGGGCGATTCTTGCCCCGAAAGGAGGATACTGATTAGTTGATGGCTTGAATTTATAGATTTAACCTTAAACATACTGTAAAGACACAACGGTTCACGTTCCACTAATAACTCCTCTTGTTTGGTTAACTGAAGACATTTAGACTCGAAGCAGAATCTGTGATAATGTTTGATAAATGTTTTACTAAAGTGGCCAAATATTTATGCATCCTATCCAAGGGTTTTCTTTTTTTTGACAACGACTTTTCTAAATTAAGGTGATCAATGCTGGACAAAATACTCAACAGTAGTACTTGAGTAAAAGTATTGATACTCACAGTCAAGTCTAACTCGCCTACAAGTAAAAGTTACACAGTCAAATAATCTACTCAAAGTATTGAAGTACCCACTTTTGAAAATACTTAAGTATTCAATTATCACAAATTACATTTTCTTTTATCAGTACAATCAGTGTCATTTTAAAGAACTTGTAACTTTCCTACACCACCTGATGTATTGATGCGTAGAACTATCTGCAACAGATTCTACGGCATCCTTAAAGATGGGGAGTGGCGGCCTAGTGCTAAGGGCGTTACGCTTGGATCCCAGAGGTTCTAAGTTCAAGCCCCACTCCCACAGACTGCCACTCTGGGTCCCTGAGCAAGACCTTTAAGCTCACACTGCTCCCCAGGGACCGCACAATGGCAACCCACTGCTCCACAAAGGGAATGGTTAAATGTAGAGAGTTAATTTCATGCTTTATACTTGTGAAAATTCAGGGACAATAAAGTAGAATTCTTCTTCAACAACTTCAGCATCAAAATGCTAAAAAAAAATAAGGATGGCCATTTTGATGGTTCTTTCTAATTCAAAAACAAACCAATAGAAAACAGGAGTGTGTTGATTCTCTTCACACTTTCCCTATAGAATAGAGGTTTAAGGTTGAATCTATTATGATTACAAAGAAACTACAGCTCTGATTGGAGAACTCATCCTACTGAACAACTTGGCCACATGGCAACAACTACAGCTTTTAATAAAAATATAAACTAATATCTACACTAAGTTTCTCGCATTTGTGGAACATTATTAAATCTCTAAAAAAGTGGTGTGCAAATTTAATCCTAAGGGCCGCTATCTTGCATGTTGAAATTGCATTTCAAGAAAGAAAAACAGCAACAGCGGATTAAAAAGCTAAGCTGAGCCAAAAGGAGCAAGAACTAGCAGCTTCCTAGAAATGGAGTGGAGAACGTACAGTATTTTACTTTGAAATGTAGTGGAGGGAAAGTCATGTTTCCCTCCCAAAAAATGACTCAAGTAAAGTTAAGATACTCAAAAAAATAAATAAATAAATACTTGAGCACATTTATCAAGTAAATGTACTTTGTTACTTTCCACCTCTGGTGTTTGGCTGCAGCTTATCCAGAAGAAATAAACAAATCATATTATTTTTTAGCATTTCCAATTTTTTTTTCTTCAAAACGTAAGCTACCAGTTAATTTTTTCCCTCCAAACCCTTAAATAAAACATAACATTAAATGTTATTTCTAGCGTCCTGCAATGAGCTGTCGATAATTATGTTGGTAGAGTACATGATGTCACACTGTGAGAGAGAGAATTTGCTGTAAAACAGGATTTTACTGATATTTTAAAACAAAGAGATAATGAAGCTTATTTTAATTTTTTCAGGTATTCGGTATTAGCCATTAGTACAGTTGGTGTGCTTTTATTTTTCTTAAGAAAACAGTCTGTGTGTATTTCCTAGAGACCCTTTAACTTTTTATCTGCAGGAAGCACTGCTCTATTGCTCTCCCGTGACTAAAGTGATTGTAAAAATGTCTTAATGTGTCAAAAAACTTTTTTCCTTTTTCCTCAAATGAATTCCTGCATCTGGTCGCATGGTCACATGACTCATTCAATGAATAATTCGACCCTCTGAAGCTACATAGGGGAGGTTTTGAGAAGAGCAGCCTGTAAATAGCAGACTTAAGGATCATATATCTCAAATTTAGCTCTAGTTAGAAGATATGCGTTTTTTAATCCTTTTTTAAGGTTGTTTTTAATCTAGAGAACCTCAAACAGAAGTGAAGTGTGACAAACAGGTTCCATTAATGTAGGAAAATGGAAATAAATGAGGATTTTTACAACAGCAAATATTTTAAAACAGCCAAATCAGTCTGTTTTGAAAGCAGCACAACTTTTCGCAATATATTCCAAATATCCAGAAAATACAGCATTCTCACTTGTATTGAAATTTAAAGTGATGTCAAACAATAGTTAAAATGTGTCTGTATAAGTTATTGTCAAAGAAACAGAAACGAGGACCATTCCTGTAAATTTTAACATTTCCTTTGGATTTTGGCCTTGTATATACCTTAATACAAAATCGTTGGACATCCTAAGGAAAAATGAAACTATCTACAGGATCTCACGATTTTTTTTTAAAGAACTTTTAAGATGTTTAACAAATAATTGATATATTAACTGGGAGAAGCCCAATTCCAAAGTTATTGTCTTATTTAATAACAGTTTTAGCTTATTAATTGTGGAAATTTCTTTTGTGCTAAAATACTGATTTAAATTGGTCCAATTATGTGTTCTAAGTTATGTCAATACAATCATATAAACCTATAGACACAATATAAAATGTTCTCTTTTCCAAGTGATCGGTGATGTGAAGATGCAGTTCTCTTGTTTCTTGATCTCATAATGTTTTTCTTTTTTGTTGTTGTTTTTGTTCTTGATTGTTATCTAAAGCCTAAAAGTTTGACTAATACTCAAAAGATATCAGTGTGAAAGCTGCTAGAGCACAAAGTAAAACTTTTAAAACCCAGACATGTTACTGTATTACGACATTTATTTTAAGCTGTGCAAAAAATAAAAAGTGGAAAACTTTTCTACAGTTGTTTTTAAGAGATTTGTGTTTTTGGATCTTAAAACTTTTTTCTTTAATTTAAGCTGCCAAGAGCTTTGATAAATCCCTTTTAAATAGGTGAGATCAAAGGCTACCGCAGGGATTTTGAGTAGATATAATTGTAGCCTAAACCGAGATAAAGAAGAATAAATGTCGAGCAGGAAACAGGTTTATTTTGTCTGGGAAAAGCATTTGGATTAAATCCAGAGATTATTTGGCAAAGAGGATATAAATAACACAGTATTTCCTCAAAATAAAGTCATTGTTTTCTGAACAAATGACTTCCATCTTATCATGTCTTTTTTTTTTTTTTTTTTTTTTTTTTTTTTTTTTTTTTTTAGAAAGAATGAAATGAATGTGAAAGTATTTCAGGATTTAAATGAGAGATTTTGTGTTTTTTAAGTGCAGTGATTGTGTTCAGAGTAATTTATATCGAGGGAGCTAATGTCTCATGTACAGCAAAAACACTTTGTAGATGTCATGTACCAACAGATCCTAATTGACCATAATGGTATTTAATAATATAAGGATGGGGCAGGAACAGATTAAAGTCTTAACGGCTGAGCAGGATGGCAGTGAATTAGTAAATTAAATGTTTCAGAGCAGACAGGGTGGACCTGAAAGAGTGAGTTGGCGGATGCAGCCGATCCTTCGTTATCTTTTGCTTCCTTAATCCAGCCGTCTGTCAGAAGAAAGCATGAAAAGTGGAAAAGGGAGAGAGATGTTGACAAGCTGGCAGGTCTCAACAGGTTCTTTAGTATATCTCATACCTCCATTCCATGTCTTTAAGTCCTCATGGACAATACTGTGAACGGTGGTAACGCATAAGATAAAGTTAAATGTAAATTAATGTCTGTGTAAGGAGGGGGAAAAAACACAATTAAAGTGATCTAAATGGGATATTAGTGTTTTTAAGCTGGAAATGTGGACGTTTAGTAACTTATTTTGTCAGATAAGATCAGACTTGTGACAGTTCAGATGTCTGATGGTGGCGAATCTTTCTGAGAGAGCAGGTCTCTATCCTGCTGCACAAACAACTCGACTATTAGGGAAAAGAAAATGCACTGCCTGTCATCTGGCCTATGTATGGCCTATCCAGATGTGGTGCTTTCATTAGCTATGGATAATAAGGCATTTTTAAAATTGTATTTATGTACCGGTAGTTATCTTTTATATTTGGGGTAGAAATTTGCTCCTACAAGATGAGCTTTTAACCGGATGAGTGGTCGCAAAATCTGATAGGGAGTTCTCTCTTCTGTGGATGTCATAGAAGCAATCTTATAATGGCTGTAACAGGGTTTTTAAAAATCATTAGAGTCATTATAAATAATTAATGACCCGAATTACACACAAGGTAGGATTATGGATCAAACCATTTGGAATATGATATGAACAAAGATATTACTCTTTAAACCAAGTAATGTTTAGTTGTTGTATTTTTTTATTTTTTATTTTAAAAAGCACACACAGTATTAAAAACAACTTTTGTTGTTTTTTAATAAAACTAATTTTAAGGGTGCTTTTATTCAATTTAGGAGTATTCTAGCACCCCCAAAAATAGGCTCAAAACACCTATTATCTAAAAGTTTATAGTCTTGTTTTTTACTCCTCTGGTAAATCCTTTTTGTGAACATATGGAATTTTATTCTTAATTTTTAAACATTAGCTTAACTTTTGATCTGAATTTTTCTTCTCCATGCCAGATTATTGAAATCTCTACATGTTTAAAATGTTTACTTAAATCTACCATCACTCATGTCAAAACACAAACGCAAAGATATTTAAACTTTTTCACTCGTTACATTAAATCATTCTGGAATATCTATTGACGTATGATTCCTTTGCATTTTTGTCTCTGCAGCCAATCACCTTCAGTCAGAGAATAATAAAACTAAGCCCTGGTGAGGTCCTTTTTTTTTCATATCACTCTTATCATTTGGTGTATGAGGATTTATATCCTCATCATCTCCTATTCCTCCAATCTTTGTACATCATTGTTGCTCTGTTTTCTGTCTAGCTTTGTGGCGGATCAGAAAAGGACTCGTTATAAAGAGATGGGGAGAAGTATGAACTCCACCGGATCAGGAAAGAGCAGCACTGTGTCCAGGTCAGTTCAAACCATTAAATTTCCTTCAGACTAACGGAGGCTTATCCAACATGGAGACAAGAGCTTCAAGTTGGAAAAACTTCTAGTTACACTTAATATAAATGCTCCAATTAGTCAAAAATATTGGATCCGGTTTGATTTTTAAATCCAGGCCTAGTTTCCAACAAATGGATAAGACTTTAGCTAGCAAGCAGTAGTCATTTTATTTTGAATTCAAGTTTTAAGCAGTTATTAAGGTTGATTGTTGAGAATCATGAAGATGTGCCTCCATGTTTTGGACATATGTAGATCTACAAGATTATGAATGTGCCAGGCAAAACTATTAATACCTCTGAACCTTTTTAATATATTGCCATTTTATAACACAACTTTCTTTTTTTTTTTTTTACACAAAATATTGACCATTTTTTTCCCCTACCCACTTCAGCTATTATCTTTTATGCATTTAAAAAATGCATTATCGTTTGTTTTATCCATACAAAATTTTCAGGGCTCATTTTGTGACTCAGTTATCTGGGATAATTTTACAGGTAGATTATAAGAATTAATGCATGTTAGGTTTCATTTATCAATCACTCATTCACCATTAGCAAGCTTGGGTATAGTGATAACCCTATTGGCTGCCCTATCAATTTGATTTCCCTCGTGGCTCTGGTTTTTCAGAAATGCTGGCAGACTGTGGCGTATCCTGGGTTTCTAACAGTTTGTCCGTTAACAGTGTTTCAGAGTTGCTGGACCTGTATGAGGAGGACCCTGAGGAAATTCTTTTAAATCTGGGTTTTGGTCGAGAAGAACCCGACTTGTCCTCAAAGATCCCCGCACGGTTCTTCAACAGCACCTCTTCGGCAAGAGGCATTGACATCAAGGTAGTGTTGTCTTTAAATTAAAATAATACTTGGAATGACGCACAGTTATAGCACTTAATTACAGATTTTTTTTTAATGGTTTATCTGTAGGTCTACCTGGGGGCTCAGCTGCAGCGCATGGAACTGGAAAACCCCAACTACGCTCTAACCAGTATGTACCTCCATCACCTTCTGCTTTCCTTTGTCCCCTCTACAGTGTTTTGTGGGTTTTCTGGGCCCATCCCTAGTAGCTCAGGCGTTCAGTTCAGGGAGGTGTTTGCAGGGAGCGCTTCAGAGCTTTGCATCCTGAAACTGTCTGCAGAGGAAGTGAAGCGCATTGACTGTGCGTGCGTGTCCTGTTCCCAGCATTACTGTGGGGTTTTGTTGGGGTCCTTCAGCTTTTTTAGCTGTTCTGCCAACTGCCTGGACTACACTGCCAAAGAGAACAAAGATGTGTTTGTCCCAAACAACCCCCCACACACACACACACACTCCCACTCACCGAACTGCTCTCCTAACATCCTGGCCTCTTTTTGTTATTGAAGTTTGCTCTGCTTGAAGGTATTGGATCAGTAACTGAGCACACACAGCTGATCGTTTTTATTTTGGCAGTTTTATGGTCTCAGAGGCTTAAAAGTCCTTTGCAAGAAAATGCATCTTGTTTCAGAGCTAGAATCTGTGTCGGTCTTCATGTCAGGAGGGTGTTGAATAGGTTGTGCAAGTAGAATATTGTGAAAGCAGCTTTTAAATCCCCGGTTCTGTTCAGTTTGATGCAAAGAGGACTGTTGGCAACTAAAATATCTATTTATTTCCAAGCCTAGGAGGAAGTGCTGCGTTTTCACATGTTGCTGTGTTTTTCAGGCATGATTCAGAAGTGTATGTTGTTCAAACCCTGAAATAGATATTTATTAAACAGAGATTTTTCTGTTCTGTAAGGACAAGCAAGGGGGTTTGTCTTTTAAGCTGAGGCAGCTAATGCCAGGGACATTAACTATCAGCTAAACAGTAAAAATAAAATATCTCTTTATCTCTTAAGTCTTTTTTTTCCCCCTGCTACTCCACCTCAAAAGCGCAGTCAAACTTGAGGCTGGTATCGCAGTATCCTTGCTTTCCTGAACACCACAGCTGTGGGAATCTGACACAATAATTAATGCTAAAGGAAGCTCAACCAAGTATTGAGTTCATATACCTTTCAGAAAAGTTTTTACTGTAAAAGCTTCAAATCATTTCTTGTATAATGTAGTAACTTTCTTTCATCTTGATGGGTTCCCATTAGCTGTTAACTATAATGTTTGAAATCTGCTGTTTATCTTTATGAAACTGCAGACGGCTAACCTTCGGTTCTCCTCTAGCTCTGGAAATACATCAATCATGTTATTTAAGCCACTGTTGCTTTGATGTGTTCGTCCTCTGGGAAAAAAAACCCTCTGAGAAATACAAGATTTTGATTTGCAGGTCAAATCAGAAAAGCTTAAAAGGTTAATAATATTAGAATAAGATGCATTTGTGTCCTCTGGAAGATGCAGTTAATCCTATATATTCAAAGGAATATCTAGTTTTCTCAGAGTTTTCAGAAAGAAGCTTCTTCTTTGATGAGGATTTCCTCCTCTTTGCACTTTCTGTTGTTCATAAAAGCCGATGTCACAAGTGAATTTCTCTATTGTGACATCAATAAAGTTCTATCTATCTGTAAAAACAACTGCAAGGAAAAATCAATAAAAAAGTATGCTATTAATCCCAAAGGGAAATTAAATGCTGCAGTGGCTCATTGTTTTAAACAGTTGTTGTAGGTATTGATAGCTGTAGGCAGGAAGGATCTTCTGTAGCGGTCTGTCTCGCACCGGATCTGGGGAAGCCCCTTAGTGAAGACACTCTTTTGTTATTTAAAAATCTTCTGAAGAGGATGCTCATTGTTGTTCTTCACTTTATGATGAATTCTTCTTTGTGAAATAATCTCTAGAGGAGGTCCTAGAACAGAGTTGGCATTCAGCTTGTTGAGCTTTTTTAAGTCATTAGCTCTAATTCTGCTACCACAGCACAAGATGGAAGAAGAAATCACACCCTCCACAACAGACTTATAGAAGATATTTAGCATATTGCTGTAAATGCCAAATAACTGATATTAATAGGTTTCAACTTGTTCCTGTTTCTTCTGAAATCTACAGTCATCTCCCTCACTTTGTTGTCATTCAAATCCACAAATGGGTTCACCAGCTCTCTGTACTCAGTTTCTTGTTCATGTTTGATGCTCACAATGACTGCAGAGTCATCCGAGTATTTCTGTAGACTTTGACTCTTACTCTGAGCGATGTGTCCTGTCTGCTGTGAATGCAAAACATGCATCTTCCTGGATTACTTCCATTTGCGACTACAAACCCCAGCTCAGATCCACCAGCTGTGAGGTGCATCTGTTAACAGCAACACTCAAAAAAAAAACGTTCCCAGTTTGACTTAATCATTTTTTGTGGGCTGGTGCAAATGTAAGGTTCTCTTAACCATATGCACCACAGAGCGCCACAGGAAATCATTCCTGCCTGTGGTCATCAATCTCTACAATGCCTCCCCCAGTGATTCAGACACCCCCCCTCTGTAATTGACATTTATTAATTCTTTGCACTGTTTTTGCACAATGTCAGTATCACTTTATTTGGATATATAGTTACACATATGTTTATATATAAATATACATATATGTATATATAGAGTTATATATGTATATATTTATATTATTTTGTGTGGATTGTGTGTGTGTGTGTGTATATATATATATATATATATATATATATNTATATGGAGCATGTAACAAAAGAAATTTCCCTCTGGGATTATTAAAGTATGTCTGATTCTGATAAAGATGCAGACATGTCAGTTGTTACAAATTAAAAGTGAGTCATTTTAGATGTCATCAAACTACGTCCATCGCGTTTTTAAGATGATAAGGAAATCTTTTAACATTTGTCCTTGATTACTCAACAGCCTTAGACTTCTAGGAACATGGAGCTGACTTATCAGTGTCATAATGTATGCTTATTAACTATTAACCTCGCTCAGAAAGCTTTCTCTTTAACATCACATAGAAACAAAGCCTTCACCCAACCTTTTCGGGTACAGATTTGTCCACCGGTCAAGGGTCAGTCAGTCCTGACTGATTTGTAAAACAAACAAGCCGATACAGCAAAATGGGTGTGGCTGCTTTGGTGCGACTGCTCTTCATCCTATTCTCTTATTTTTGCTGCTTACAAATAACAAAGCATGTTTGCTAAATAGCAAACGTCAGATAAGAAAATAGACAAACTCAGAGCAATAAGCGATTTTAATAATGCACCTGTTCAGGAAGGAATAGAGGTAAATGCTGAAAACAGTCATTAAAACAGCTTCTTTCTACCTAAATGTGTTGGAGAAGATATGAAATGAAAGCCCTGCATTTGGGCATAAAGACGCTGTGTTTTAAGTTCTGTATGGGTGGTTATGTAATTTGCAATGCATCTCAGATCTGCAGTGCTGATATGTTAATTGAACAATATGACGATTCTCTTTGTTTTGTTTTTTCCGTTCAGTTGCCCTGAAAGCAGTCGGGCTGGGCTGTTCAGCCAGAAATAGCTCTGCAGGGTGTTTGAAAACTGATAAGTTATTGTTCTAGAAAGCTTTATATTTAGAACGTTATCATAGTACCACATTACATACTGCTGAACTGCTTTTACTCACCATCTCTCCAGGCTGCTATGGCTCTGATAATTTCTACTAGTGTATCACAAAAGCACTCTGTTGTCGGAAAGGAAACAGAAGTATCCATATCTGCATGTTTACCGTTTTTTGCTCAGATATTTCAATATGTTATGCTATTTAATGGAATGAGCTGTTTATGATAAAAGAACATAAAGATTCCAGAGAAATTATATGTTTAGCCTGTATTGTTAGCAAACCCTCTGGTGTTTCTGATCTCATTAATATTCCCCCAAAAAAGCCGCAGTTTTATGATTACTGACTCATCAGCGCAAGTTCCCACACTTTGACATGAAGGCATCAACATGAGATCAGATAAATAGTTTTACTGCCAACATACCTCATTAGCTTGGAAGCAAATAAATGTGCTCTTTGCTGTTATAAAGATGCAGAAGTGATCTGTATTATAATTGACACTGCATCAAATTCATTCATGTTTATGAACAAATTAATGTTGGCATTACAGTATAGCTAGCTGCTGCTGGAGGTATGATAAGCTACAGCTTCAAATTGTGATCTTTTTATTTGGTTCTGTAAGTTTAACTGATTAATAAGTTTATTCATTTGTTTTTAGTATTGCTATTGCTGAAACCATCCTTCAGGTCTTGTTCTAGGGAAGTATCATGAATTTGCAACTGTTTACATTCGATTTCTGAGTTTGCCCTGCAACCGGAGGTTTGACGGTACAAGTCCCAGTTCCGCATTGTCTACTGATGTTGGTCAGAGGGCCCGGTTGCACCAGTGTATTGCAGCCTCTCTTCTGTCAGTGAGCCCCAGGGCAGCTGTGGCTACAATGTGTCTACATGAATGACTGAATGTTGTGTGAAGAGCTTTGGTCATGTTTACTGACTTGAACAAGCAATATATAAGTACAGGCCATTTACCATCTATTATTTCTTCTGCCTATGATAAGAGCGACTCATTGTGTGTTTTATACATGTGTTTTATATGGTATTGTTTTCTGTAGCTGCTATTTTGGCCAGGTCTTCTTTGTAAAATGAAGTTTTGATCACACTGGGACGAATCTGGTTAAATTAAGACGCAAACATCAAAAAATGTCTCAGCAAAATATTTGGATTTTGTTAACAGCCATCAATCCCCACTGTTTTAAATTAAAGGTGTGCTGGATCTGGTTGTTAAAGCCGGACGCACACTGTAAGATAATTTTTTTTTTTTTGACATTTTCTGGCCGATTCACCAGTCGAGCGAGAATTTTTCGATCGGTTTTAGCCTCATCGTGCGTCCTTCATGCGTTGTGTTGTATAAAGGGGTGTAACGAGGGGCGATCAGCCTCTCACAACCACCGCCCGATCAGGAATCGTAAGGTTGAGAGAAAAATCAAATATATTTGAAATTCAGTCATTCGTCATAAGGTGTTCATGGACAAATCCTGCTGTTGAAGCAGAGGTATGAGCGTCTGCGAGACAATTTACCAAAACCTCGAGCACT